AGAACAGTGTGGAAACACAACAGTATTTTGAAACAACTACCTACTTTTACATCCTCTAAACAATCAGGTTTGGTCATCTTCTCCAGGCATTGAACACTAAGGTGAGTATGACATGTACAGTAAACAGGTATGGTGGCAACAAGACCACACTGACTGCTGGATCAGGTAATTTTTTGCAGTGGGGTAGAAGTGAGTCAGAGATATTCAATAATAGGGATATTTTGATTAGACATTTCAAAGTCTATGAAATTTTTTGATAAGATATGGAGATTTTACTTTTAACAACTTAAAGTGACAAAAAATTATGAAAACAAATGATTTGTTGTTAAGTTTTTCAGCAAACATGGATTTCCTAGATTTTTCAACTGATTTCAACAAAACTTCACAGGACTACTTAAAATTACCTTGCGGTAGTTCTGACAGCACCAAAAATTGGAAAAACACAATTGTTTTTGCATGAAATCAATTTGAAAACACAATAAAACACAATTCTGTCACCAGAATGAAAGGGGGACAACTCATATTGAGTTATACTTATTATAAAACCCAGGTTGTTTGTATGTGTGTGTGTGTGTTTGTTTATATATGGGACCGGATTTCGTACATTTTTCAACCGATTTCAACTAAACTTCACTTTTTTTGGCAGGTAGTGTTTCTTATTGTCTTGCACACTTTTTTCTTTATTTTTACATTCAGAATGTTTTAAAAATTCCATTTACTATACAATTGTTTATAATAAAATTCTATTCAATCAATAGACTCATAACAATTGAAAACAATGTTTTTGTTTGAATTTGGGTTTGGCCAATTCGTAAAAAAAAAAAAAAAAAAAAACTAATTAAGACATGCGTGTCCGTCAACCTTAAACAATAATCTTTGTCAATTTTATTTTTCAGTCTTTATGATGGTCGATACTTGATCTATCTCTTACTGTTACATCCCCGGGCAACACCGGGCTCTACTGCTAGTATAAAATTATTCTTGGAAATAAACAATCTAATAAATAGTTTTTAATATTATTTTAACTATTTACATGGTTCAGACTGTTGTCCTCACCGTTATTGCCATATTTATGACATTTTGGCCATTGTGTGCTCTGGCCTTCTACAGGTGATATTTGTTGAAATTTCAAACTGAACCCTGTAATGAGTTGGTCAGTCAACTTGACACCCCTAAAGTGAGTGGAGGTGGGCAGGCGCGGAAACTGTGATTGGTAGCTGGCTTGTTGGTGTTTTTCATAGGCGAGTTACCAAGCTCTATGTAAAGCATTAGAATGAGAAGGAGGGCAGTTTGTCTCAGAAGTGGAGACTGTGCCTGTCGCTACGGCAGTAGGAGAGAGACGAAATTTGTTATTTTTTGATTTTTCGTGACACATTTCAACACAAGCTATTTCAGCATTTACTTTGTCTGTAGGAGGGCGCCATGGTGAGCATGGAAGCCTAGGGTGCGAGCCCTGGTGGAGCCAACCGTGGGTGCAGATCTCGGTGGTAGTAGCAAATATTCAAACGAGACCTTCAGAGACCGAAGAGGAGAAGAGTTCTGTGCCAACGGTGCTCAAGCACAGGTCAGTCAGATTATTTCATTCACAGGTAGATTGTTCTACTTCCATATACCATGCCTTTGGATATCTCAGTTTTAGCTAATTCCCCTCAATAACTGTTGTAACTTAGTGAAGGTTACTGAATAAAATAATCAAACGAAGGTTGGTAATAAATAATACTTAGAACACGAACAGCACATATAAGATTCTCCAGCAGTGCATAGAAGTAGTCAACTGCTACAAGTGAATTCCATAATGAATCTCAAACTGTGGGATATCTGCCAACCTTCCCATGTGGTCAGATGTGGCACAAGGCCGAATTTTATATGGGGTATCCAAGCCCATATACTCAACCAAAAATTCCCTGTAGACCATGTATACTGCTTGGTCAGCTTAGGAGATTTTTGTGGTGTATCATACGTATTGATTCTTTAAGTTTTTGAATTTTCTAGTGATGTTCTCTATTATTTTAACTTCATCCAACAGAGGGTGGTTATCTCCCTTTTCTCTCCATATATGGACAGCCATGCCTGATTTTTCTATTTCCACTCGTTACAGCCTTACAGAATTCCTGCAGTTTTATCTTAAGGAGGCAGCATGTTTCTCAGTCCTTAATCATATTCCCCTCTATGGGTTATCTTATACGGAAAAGATGTCTGTCTACTGTTGAACCACTCCTAAAGGCTGTCCCGATGTTATATGGACCACTTTTGTATCTTTTCTGAAAAACACTTCACATAGAGTAAGCAGACCGAGAATGTTTTCTGAGTGTTACTATCATCTTGTACCCTTCTACTCCAGTTTGTAGAGGCTGCTATCATGTACCCAGTGTAGTTGTTATGTTGCAAGGTACTGCTTATACTGACCATTTCTTGTTCATATGTCTTTAGGTCGCCAATTATGACTTTTGCTCAATGTTGTTGGCAGCAGACAATACCTTTCTTTACACTGTATAGTCCAGTTTGAAAATTCCAGTAATATCACCTGAAGAGGGCTGATGAGTACAAAGGTTGAAACATTGTGAATATGGCAATAATGATGAGGACAAGAGTCCGAACAATGTAAATAGTTACAATACCTCATCTCAGAAATAGACAGATCCTGAAGAAGGCTGGAGCATACAACAGTTGAAACATCATGAATGTGGCAATAAAGATGAGGACAACAGTCCAAACAATGTAAATAGTGTAAATAGTTACAATACCTCATCTGAGAAATAGAGACAGATGTTGAAGGTGAATATGGCAATAAAGATGAGGACAACAGTCCAAACAATGAAAATAGTGTAAATAGTTATAATACCTCATCTGAGAAATAGAGACAGATGTTGAAGGTGAATATGGCAATAAAGATGAGGACAACAACAATCAATGTAAATAGTGAACAATGTAAATTTGAGAGTGAGACAATGTTGAAGGTGAATATGGCAATAAAGATGAGAACAACTCTGAACAGTTCTCAGAAATAGAAACAGATGTTTAAAATTGTGTAAATTCTCGAGAACAAAGCTAAATGTATAAAATTCACTTTTATCATGTGTTTATGTTTTATCCCAATTCTAATTATTACTTTTAAAAACAATAAACATTACAGAAGAGTGAAGGTAGTTAGAAAAGCTATGTCATGGAAGAAAAATATCTTTTTGACACTATGTCTTATTGTGGGCACATATGTCCATGTTTGCCAGTTTTTTCTTTCATAAGAAAGAATCAAGATTTCTCTTCAATTACTAAACAGCATCAATATTACACATTTTTATTAAAGTGATAAAAATGAACATATTGTATCAGCAGGTACATGACAACATTCATAAGTGCAAGATGGATACACCTGTAATCAGTTTGCCAATGCATGTATGATCTTTATTACCACTTTTGACATTTACTATATAGGGTCAAAGGTTGGACAATATTCACAAGAACATGGTGGAAATTTACATGTGTGTGAATACAACTGGTTTGGCAATATCTGAACATCTGCTATAAAACCAGCTATATACCTGGTCTTACAATTAAAATGTGTTCCCAGTACTGAGGAAGGTTAATTCTGAATTTCATTTGATTGAAAACTTTTTACATTAAGTCCTACCAGCCATCTCTCTGTAAGCAGAAAGAGTGGTTGGTAGGCTTAAAGGTTGGATGGTTGATTTTGTTTAGTGGCATATCAACCTCTATGGCTTATTTAATGCCAAAATCTAAATATTTTGAATGTAATTGTATGCCTTCAACCACAGGTAAAATGTATTGTTGGTAATTTTACAATAAGTAAATATTGTTGGTAATTTTTAATCATCATGCACATTCTGAGTGATGAACAGGTGTAGATGTATTTTTGTTAATCATACAGTACCCCTTCATCTTTGTTATTAATTTTTCTTCTTGTTTTAATGTGACCATTTTTATTACTTTAATAAAATACACAACATCTTCCGTCTGAATTTTCTGGGATGGGAAGTTATCGTTATTTAAAATTTTGCCCTCATCTATGTTATTTGGTCGTTCTGCCCTTTGGCTTTCATCAGCTATATATCAATCTGAGTAACCTACTGGGTATTCTGAACTGAACTCTTTATTTAATTTACGGAAGTAGACTGCTCTCATTCCACTGTGCATGTCTAGGGAGATCTCATCTAGTTCTTAATTTTAGCACTGCTCAGTTTTTGCTTATCCAGTTTCCACAGAGTACACACTGCCCGGCCCAGGGATTGAACTCGCTCTACTACATCATCAAATTCACTTAAATCAACTAGGCTATTGTCCTGTAGGACAATACTCTGTGGACAACTTGGACCTTAAAGATAGCTTGCCTGCTGATGAGTGCTGCTGCTGCTTGTCATGCTTGACTGCCCTCACTGAAGCTTTCCTTTTTTGTTAAAGCTGCTGCTGAAGACTTGCCATCATTTGTCTTTCTTTATTAGTGGTTCCCATGTCATATTTATTTCTATGCCAGGACTACTGAGGATGTTCTCATAGATTAGCATACGTGTTGTAGGTTACCTAAATCGATATAAACCTGAGGCAGGAGGCACAATGGTTAAAAAATTGTGCTAACAATAAAAATGATGACTGCAAGTAAATAGTGTAAATAACATTTTCCACATTAGTCTTTTCTGTAAATACTTTCACGGTAACTGTTTGGATGAAATTTCCTCTGGGGTACCTGGACTTTATGAATTTAAATGCAGTACTAGATTGGCAGCTTGGTCTCATCATTTTTACAGTTCTATGCTAACAGCTTCTTTTCTTGCACCTCTCACCTTCTTGCTCTCCAATGAAGTTTGATCTTTTAAAATGTAAATGCAACGTCAATCATTACCTTTTGTTTTCTTAATTCTTTTTCTTTCATTGTTTTCTCTCATTTATAGTCTCTTTTTCTTATATTCTCTAACATTCTGTAACCCCTTGCATTGTAGTGGGTTTATTGATTTGTAATTATTAAAAAAAAAAAACACTTTCTTTACCTTCTCACTATTTCCATGTTTTTCATATTCAGGTGGCACGTATTTCGTTTCAGGATCTGAAATTGAAACAAAATAATTGATATAATGCAAAACAAAAAATAACTATTTCCAAATGATTGCATTTGATTGAGTGCAAAGATGTCAAAACCATGTCAGTGCTTCTCATTAGAAAAGAACAAACATTTGACTTAAGACTGAAAAAATTATTTGCCTCACAGAAAAATGTGATGATGAAACACATCTGGTGCCTTAAAAGCCAATAGGGCAATTCTCAAGTCAGGCAGGGTCAAAATATAAGAACAAAGTTCTACTCAGCTTTTTCTTAAGAAGCATCATTTTTTTCAGGGGGTGAGGAGTTTATGTTATTTACATTTGGGATAATGTCCTCATCTGTCATTATTATCATGCTGTTTTGGTCAAAATGTTATGATAACAACAACAAAGATGAGGATATTAGTCTGAATGTAAATGATGCAAATAATTGGAGCATATACAGTGTGTATGTATAAATATAAAAGTGAACATTGAAGTCAACACTTAGAGGCAACAGGCTGTTTCATGCTAGACGCAATCGTCAGGCCATGTGCGTTGTTTTTTTTCTCGGCTATTTATATATACGGGTCAGTGGTGCATTATGGGTAGTCTATTTTGGTGGTTATTTTGCCAGAAGTCGTTTATTGTTTCTTTATTTATTTGGGTTAAATTATTTTGCTTGTTTTTATTTATTTTTTATTTTTATTTCTTATCTTATATATTTATTTATTTATTGGTTTGATATTTATATACACACATCTTCCAATCACCCACCTTTATATTTACATATGATCTATCTCTGATATTGAGCACTTTATCCCATAAATATAGCACACCTTAATAGTATATTTCTTTATATATATATATATATATATATATATATATATATATATATATATATATATATATCAAAGATTCACTAAAAATGAACATAGCATGATGAAAAATGGCTTGAAAAAACTTGAAAAAAAAATAAAAAAAGTTTTATCAAAATCTTTGTTATTAAAAAGAAAGACCAAATTATTTTTTGATTATTTAATTATATTTTTCAATCCTTTTTAAAATGTTTGAAATTTTGGTTTAAAATTTAAAGAAAATTTTTGATTTATGTTAGTTCTGTTCTTTACTTAACTTTTCCAAGTGTCAGGTTGTCAATAAGCCATACAACACATAAAAAAAAAACAAGTTCTCGTGGTTAAGAAATGCTTTTCTACTACATTTTATGCTAAGAAGTAATATTTATTTCAAATTGGATTAATTAAACATTAAAGTTGTTAATTTTCCTCAAATAATAATTCAGAAAAATAAATTTAATTTTTGAAAGATTTTTTAAAATGGAGAACTAACTTGTGTTTTACAAATATCTCAAAATGGACTGATTTATCAATTTTACTGGAAACAAAAAGGAAAAACAATTCCAATCAATCTAAATTCAGTTTGAAATACACTAGAGTTTTTTTTCTGTCTGGGAATAGTAAATTTAATCGCTCAACAATCCTAACAATCACCCAAGATTTAGTTTCAGTTATGGCCCCAGTGGATAAAAGTGTTGGTTGTTATAATCCAGTGACATGAACCAAAGAGTTCTGAGTTCAATACCTGACCACAAAAGAGATGAACAAAAACTTGGAGAGTTGAGTTACTAAAGGGAAATAACTGAAATTGAGATATCCAGAAGAGGCATGGCACATGGAACAAGAACAATCTAACCGGGTAAATGAAATAAAGGGTTTGCTTTAAAATTCCAATCACCTGAAAAAGATCAGAGTGTACAACAGCTGAAATGTCATGACTATGACAACAAAGATGAGGACAACAATTTGAACAATGTAAATAGCGTAAATTAGTACAATCCGTACATACATCGACCAGCACATCATGAATGACCAAAATATCATGATCAACAAAAGACAGATACTAGCAGATAGCACCAAAATACTCTAGAGCATTCAATTCAAAGAAAACCTCAAAACTCTAAAAATTATTATTATACAAAATAAACAGCCCACATTAAATAAAATATCATTCACCATTATAGATGGTATCTTGAAGTGCATATCATATAATTAATGTATGCACATATTATATTAGCATTAAAAATATAAAATAATTACAATAAAATAAATACAGTGAAAACTTGGTTTACAAATGTCTCACATGTCGAACAAATTGGTTTTTGAACAGAATATTCAAGATCAAAATGCCTCAGTTATCAAACAAAATTTTGATTCTCAAGCAACATTGCCGAACTGAGCTGAACCAAGTTAACCCAAACGAAATCATTTCTTAGTTGACCACCATGTTGTATACATTCATGTGTTCCACTGTGCTTTTCTTTTCCAATTTTATTGTACTGTACTGTGTCTTTTTTTTTTTTTTACTCTTCATTAGTCCTTAGTCATGGATCCAAAGAAAACTAGCAGTGATACTGGTAAAGGAAAAAGAAAAATTAATAAATGGTTGATGGTATTGTTTCTTCCTACTCAGTTTCATATGGCAAAATCAACGATCTATACTATTCTTATAAATAAAGAGACAATTATGTCTTTCCTTCCCCCTTTCCAAACAATAACATCTCTTTACTTCCCTTTCCACTTACACCATCAACTCTCCTACTTACAGGTATGGTAAAATTACAGGTATGGTAAAATTGAAGTGTTTGTCTATATTTTATGTTTAGTATTGGGTTTATTTATTTATTTCTTAGATTTAATGATTTTCATTAGTTTTTTTAAATAAAGTTATGCACAAAGTACTGTTGTTAAAGTTTAAATAAGCAATAATCTTGAATCCATTTTATATTGTTCCCTATTGGAAAAATAGTTTCAGTTTATGAACATTTTGGTTTACGAACAGACTTCAGGAACGAATTAAATTTGTGAACCGAGGTTCCACTGTAAATCACTTCCTTTTTGTGTGGCCTCATTCCCAAAAGGCCGTTACACGTGATGTCACATTAGACCATTTCAAACATCCAGCTTTCCAAAGAATACCAGGATGCAGACACACAAACACTACATCAGTTTTTGATAATGACTATGAAAGTTGAACGTACTTGAACAAAAATAACAAAATATGAACTTTGGATAGTTTATCCACAACTTTGAGTACAACACCTTATCTGATAATTGGGAAAATATAATAAAAGATTAAACAGACAGACCTTGTCAGTTTTTTTTAATCAAAAACTTTGTAAATGTTCTTCAGTCCTTTCATGATGAGATGGATAATTCTGGTGGTCTACCTTCTGAACCATTTAAAGTGACCACAAGTGTGAAACAGAGGTGACCGAGTAGCACTTACGCTGTTCTTAATCTTCTTTTCTGTGGTTTTAAAGATTTTGCAGATTGTCTGTACAGAATCTACATTCGATATTGCACTTCTGGTAGATTATTTAATCTTCAACATCTATCAGCTATCACAAAAACTTTTCAAGCATTGTTTAGGGTCCACCTGTATGCTGGCAATTGTGATTTAGTATCTCATAACGAAGAGCCTGTGAAGTTTTTGGCTTCACTATCAGCCTTGATAAAACAGTTGTCAGGTTCCAACTGGCACCAAGTCAACTGTATATTGAACTTTCAATATATGTGTATGGCCAGAGGCTGCAGGTTGTGGACAAGTTCACCCCCTAGGCAGAACCATCAATGATAAAATAACAAGTCACCTTTACCGCTCTGAAAGATCATGTATGGAACCAGCGAGGTTTGAAACTGGCCAAACTGTCAGTTTTTAACGTGTGTGTTCTTACTTGTCTCCTATACCCTTGTAAAATATGGGTCACATACAGAAGACACCTTGTTACCCACGAACACTTCTACCAGTATTGTCTGACATCCACCAAGGGCATACACTGGCTGTCTCATATACCTGACACAACTGTCCTTGAAAGAGTATTGTTTGTCAGTATTGAGGCCCTAATTCATTGCCACTGGCTACAATGGACAGATCATGTTATTCGCTTAGAGGATTCTCGAATTCACAAGCAAATGCTTTATGGTGAGGTAATTCAAAGAATATGTCCAGGGCACAAACCTTTCAAAAGATTCAAGGAGTGTGTAAAGGACTCGCTGAGTGATTGCCTCATTGCTGAGGGTGGGTGGGAGAGAACTGTTTGTGTTAGGAATTACTGGAGGCAGACTGTTCATAGTGGTTGCGAATAGTTCTTACAAGAGATCAGTGGTATGGTCACAGATAAAATGAGCTGCGAGAAAAGGGGAATTAGTCGATCCTGAGTTTAATCAATACCCATGTGATCAGTGCAGATGAGTTTGCTTATCTATGGCAGGTCTAGTTAGCTATTGTAGGTGTCATCTAGCTCGAGCACCTGGTAACTATGGTCAATTTATCCAGCTCACCGACTTCAGTTGTGCTGTGTGACAGAAGGTATGCCAAAATTGATCAGGATTGACTCGACACATCAAAGCAAAGCATCAACATCACAAACAGCAACAGCAGAGCACCAGCAACAACTCCAAAACTTACAAACAGTTCAAACGGCTTACACTTGCTGTTTCTGTCAAAAGCATTGTAAGTCCCCCACTGAATTTAAAGGCCATTGCCGCTCACATAACAACTAAAAGACAATAATTAAAAAGCAAAATAACATCAGAAGGAAGGGACATAAATAAGGGGAAGAAAGGAGAGGCAGGAAGACAAGGAAGGAAGGAGAAGGAAATAAGGGGAGGGAAAGAGAGGCAAGTAGAGAAGGAAGGAAGGAATGAGAGGGAAGGAAAGGCTAGAAAGGAAGGAGAGGCTGGAAAAAAAAGAAGGAAGGAGAGGGAAATAAGGGGAGGGAAGGAGAGACTGGAAAGGAAGGAAGGAAGGAGATGGAAATAAGAGGGGGAAGGAGAAGCGAGAAGGAAGGAATGAGAGGGAAGGAAAGGCTAGAAAGCAAGGAGAGGCTGGAAAGAAAAAAGGGAAATAAGGGGAGGGAAGGAGAGGCTAGAAAGGAAGGAAGGAGATGGAAATAAGAGGAGGGAAGGAGAAGCAAGAAGAGTAGGAAGGAGAGGGAAGGAGAGGTTAGAAAGAAAAGAGGGAAATAAGGGGAGGGAAGGAGAGGCTGGAAAGGAAGGAAGGAGATGGAAATAAGAGGAGGGAAGGAGAAGCAAGAAGAGAAGGAAGGAAGGAGAGGGAAGGAGAGGTTAGAAAGGAAGGAAAGGGTAATAAGGGGAAGGAAGGAGAGGCTGGAAAGGAAGGATGGAGAGGGAAATAAGGGGAGGGAAGGAGAGGCTGGAAAGGAAGAAAGGAAGGAGAGGGAAATAAGGGGAAGGAAGGAGTGGTTGGAAAGGAAGGAAAGAAGGAAGGAAGGAAGGAGAGGGAAATAAGGGTAGGGTAGGAGAGTCAGGAAGAGAAGGAAGGAAGGAAGGAGAGGGAAAGAAATATCTATTTAAAAAAATAAATAAATAAATGACGTAAGTTAGCTACCTTGAATAGAGATAAAAACAATATTTCGAATTTACAGTGTTAACGAATAACACATCTATAGATATACAACACCTGAAGATGGTCTGAGATGAGATTGAAAGTACTTGAGAAAATAAAAATTATTTGAAAGAATATTTTAGGATTTTTCTTAATCAATTTTCTACAGCCACGAAGAAATTAATTTGTGGACTTGAAAGGATTAAAACAAAAATAAATAATATTAATAAATAATTAAAACTAAAATGTCAAAATTATTTAAACAAACATGCATAAATAAAAATATGCTGCCTAAAATATATATATATATATATATATATATATATATATATATATATATGCATACACACACAGAATGTCCTAAAAATGTTCTCATTGTTTAAATGCAGTGTTTATTGATTTGCAAACAAGATTAATGGCTAAAATTAAGAAAAATTCATGTTTATTGACTTCAAAAAGATTAACAGTTTAAATTAAATATTAAATAAAATTAAATGCATGGATCTGGAAAAAAAAATTCAAAAAGTTAAAGAAAGTCAAAAACTATGTACATTTTTTGGGGCACCATATGTTTATATATCTCCCCAAAAAACTAATTTACCTGACCTTGTAGATAGACTAAACAAAGTTGAGCATATGATAATATTATGAAACAAACAGTACTTTACCTTTCTTATGTATCATGTTACACTACAGTAACAATAGCCTAAAACTGAGGTGCATCACAAATCTATATATAATAAAGTGCTGTGTATGTGTGTCCATATGTTTTCAATCTCAGCAAATCCTAAACAACCTGAAGTAACAGGTAGTAATTACAGTAGTTATATTAAAAATTAACTCATTTAAAGTTAAATTTAAATATCAGAGTGAAGGGTTTAAAAAACAATTCTTTATTAAAGGTGTGGCACCTTGCATTATTAGAAATATTCATAGAAATATGATTTAATTTTTTTTTCTCGGTTTATTAAACAGGTTGTTAATTTTTTTTTTTTTAACGGAAAATAATTGAGTTGAAAATAATTCACTAAGATTGTACTTGGACGATCCTAAGGGAAGAAGAAAAAAGAAAGAAAGAGAGTTGGATGATGCATGACCCAGTCATAAGCGAAGATAAGTGTCAGAAAGATATCTTGGCCTGTGTGTGGCCGAATTTTTTAAAGACAATTGGAAGAATAGAATTAGAAATAATAAGAAGAAAGAAAGGGAAAAGACATGATATCAAAACGGGCCGCTTGATGAAAACCAGATATCGGTCAAAACATCTGACCTACTTTTTTGCGTAGAAAGACCCATTATCAATTTGGAGTAAGGGGAAATTTTAAGAGCGAAATCTTAATCAGAGAAAAGGTGTTTTTTGGGTTGAGGGGAGTGACCGGTGCAACTATATACAGATCCTGACCTATTAAGAATTAGAAACCTACGATAATAAAAGGGGAACATTTTCAATGTAGATAATTAAGATTTTCTGACTGCGGGTCTGACAAAAAACAAGAGGTGAAAAAACGATTGTCTCAGATCACAGATGGCGACAATATTCTTTCCTGAAGTCACAACTAATTAGCGGCGGGCTGGTTGACAGAGCCCAGGTGAGAGAAAGCCAAGATTGTCATTTTTCGTACGTGCAGAAAAGGCAAAATTGGATTTTGTTTTTTAAAACAAGAACGATGTAACCACGCCCCGAAAAGGAGGAGAAAGGATGCTCGATCAATAACAATTGGTCGGAAACGGTCACGTGATCTGCAGAAAAGAAGAGAAAGAAATGCCCGATCAGGAACCATTGGTCGAAAAACGGTCACCTGACATACGAGAGACTAAAGAGATGGTGTGCACCTCCCACAAAGGGCACTGTGAGGAAGTAGGGGTGAAAACAATAGCGATAATGGGAAATCAAAAAAATAATGCGACTTTTGGAGTTATCGAGAAAACCCTGACGCCAACAGACCCACCCCAGTTTGTTGCGGCGTCAATAAAAGCAGGACCCCAGTCGACAGAAATCAGTTGGAGTGGAGTTGCAGCTGGACCGCGGGCAGGGATAGAGCC